GAGGAGAAGGTTTAACATTGCTATTCATAAATGGAAGAGTGAAACCAGTGTTCTATGTCCCCTGAGCTAAGACTCTGCCAATCAGGGGGGGGTTTTGTACAGAATCCACAAACCACACACAGTGCGACACGAGTACTAAATGGATTACCACAAAAGGTACTATTTTTAAAGTCATGAATTCTACACAGAACACTTACACTGCCCACTCAAGCTTCTCATTCTTGATTGAATTGTAGAGAGCCTGCAAAGAGAAAGAGACAAGACGGAATTATTATTTTGACTCTGCCATAAGTTTTAAGATGCCAGTGAAAAATGGCCAAGTATCAACTGCTTCTGATCAAGAAGGTACACTATCCACATGTGACAACATTTGTACCCGAGTAGGAAGCATAATATTGCTCAAGGTGGAAACAACATATCAAAAGATAGGGTCTGAGATTTCAATAGTTTTCTATAGGGGTGGAAAGATCAGCTACATTTTTAGTCTAAATATTTTTGGTTTGCATTATCCCACAAGCTTCTGAATGGCAGGGAACAGTCTGCACCTCAGGTAAAATCATGGCTCCATTGAGACAATAGGAGTTTTCCAAATAAATCTGATGGGTCAGAATACTACCTCTGGTATTAATCTAAAAAACTAACAGAATAGTTCATTGGTGACACACACCAAAATCACCAAATCCCAAATATATATAAACCCTTCCATCTTATGTGCACAAAGGCATTTATAAAGATGTTCAGCCTCTATGTGAAAGGCATGTTAAATAAATTGGAAATACCCAACACATTTAAGATAACAATCTACTACAGCTGTTCACTAACAGAGCTGCTCTTAATTTAAGTGGCAGAGGCCAGTGACTTTGGCACTGAAGAGTTCACATTTTCTAAGTGCTCAGTGTGTGGTAACTGGTCCTTATAAAATGGAGGCCTCTACAGGATGGAATCTCCCATGTATATCAGAGATGGGAGGTGTGTTTCCTCTGAGTGTGAGCATGGGAAATACACTGGCTAAGCATGCCTGATGTTGTGTTCCTCAAGTGGCTGCTCCCAAGAGTGAACAAGAACCAGCTACTGCTAACAGCTAATGGAGTTATTGCTTGAACATGTTTCTGGAACTTATGTTATTAGTTATGGGAAAGACCAGGTTTTAATACTGCCTATAACCCATGTTCGGGATCTTTACATATATGAATACATACTTCCTCCTCCAGATAATTACTGAAGGGATTCATTTCAGTCAAACTCATTCTTCTCCCTAAATTGTGGTGTCCAGAGGAAGTGCATCTCAAAATAGGACGCACTGTTGTACCCACAGGGTGCCTATATATGTGCTCCATCACATTTTAATTAGAACATGTCAGAGCAGGCTCGATTAACTGAGTCATCTGGAGCATTCTAATTAGAACTCTCCAGCAAGCCTGACCGTCATGTGTATTCAGCGTCCCGTGTTTCAAAATGGCAGTGGGGGCGCATTAACTAAAGCTCGTTGAATGAGCTATAGTTAAAGCACCCACGCCACCATTTTGAAACAGGGGATGCTGAATACATGTGACGCTGCAGCATTTTAATTGGAGCGGCTCTCCAGGAGCTGTTCTAACTAAAATGCCACCCCCTCCCCCACCTCCCACCCCAGATACCCTTGGTTACCAAAATAAAGGCACATGCACAAAAATCACCAGATAAAGTTGTATAAATAACTGAAATGCACTTATAAATAGAACAAGTCTAACTGGCTAGCACCAACAGCCTTAACTCTGCCCTAAAATAAACTTCACATATGCTGACTATGTAGTTAACATTATACTTGTTCCTCCTGAAAGAGGTGAAACTAGGATGCATGGAACACCGATAGCTTGATGATGGCCATTGGTAGGATAAATGCCAGAGCATGGGGTCTCCTGCCTCTGACTCATGTGGGAAATGCATGCTAGGCCAGGAGAGTAACATGGTACCATGGTATCTTTATTTTAAATCCCAAACAAGATAAAAAAACTGCTGTTATTATTTTAAAGTAGTCAATGGTAGCACCCACAGAAGCACCATGTTTGTGTGAAGCCAGCTTCCAGAGGTCCCAGAAGATGTCAGAATCTCCACTGTGCTGCTACAGACGAAGGGCGATTCATTTCCTGCTCTGGGGGGGTTTACAATCTATTACCATTCATCTGTCTCGAGCTTTCCATACTTTTAGGGAAGGTGTTCTCTGCTCCAAGGACTTCACAAACTAAGGACAAATAAACACTTAGACAGAAGTCAGTGAAGGAGAATAACTGGCCATGCAGTTTGCCTCATTTTAAGATGAGGAATCACAAGTGAGTTTAATCAACAAGAAGAGAGGAAGACAAGATTCGTGTTGATCTGCTTGTGTACTAGGTAGGACTAGTCCATAACTCAATAAGTTGTATTTTTAGCAGGACCTGGTAGAAAGGGACCTTCTTTCATATTCTTTAAGTGGCCTGATATTTTCCATTCTGACCTTTTCTTCCCAGTTTCTTTTAATTTTGCTAGGCTACAGCAGTTCAGACTAAGTTCCGATGTTTGCCCTCTGGCCCAATTTTATTTTTCTTTTTTTTAAAGGTTTAATTAAAACAGTAAATTACTTCCAAGAGTGAAGGGGGGGAAATAGACAGCTTTACCAAGGGTAATATTTTTCTCCCAGGGCATTTATTTTTGAAGAGCTCTTTCATAGATTTCATAGACATTTCATAGACATTTGGGGCTGGAAGGAACCTCGTGAGATCATCGAGTCCAGCCCTCCCCCTCTCCGCCATAGGCAGGAAGACAGCAGGGATCAAGTGACCCCAGCAAGAAATACGTCCACGTTTTTTTTAAAGAGTCCAGAGTAGGTGCTTGCACCACCTCTGGGGGGAGTTTGTTCCAGACCCTGGACACACGTACCATAAAGAACTTTTTTCTTATGTCTAGCCTAAATCGGCCTTCCTGGAGTTTATGGCCGTTAGACCTTGTTATCCCTTCGGGAGCTCTGGTGAACAGTTGTTCTCCCAGGTCCTGATGTACCCCTCTTATATAATTGTAGGCTGCCACCAAGCCTCCCCTGAGCCTTCACTTTTCCAAACTAAAGAGTCTCATGTCCCTCAGCCTCTCCTCGTATGACCTCCCCTCCAGGCCTTGAATCATATGATTGGCTCTCCTCTGGACTCTCTCAAACTTCGCCACATCCCTCCTGAAGTGGGGGGGGCCCAGTACTGAATGCAGTACTCCAGCTGTGGTCTCACCAGGGCTGAGTAAAGCAGGAGGATGACTTCCCTGGTTTTGCTTGAGATGCATCAGTGAATGCACGCCAGAGTTTGGTTTGCTTTGCCAGCCACAGCATCACATTGGTGGCTCATATTCATCTCGTGGTCAATCAAGGCCCCCAAGTTCCTTTTGGTTGTGGTGCTAGCAAGCGTAGCAGTGCCAAGCCTGTAGGTATGTACCTCTTCCATCTTTACAGTTTGACATGAAATTTTGAAACTTGGTAAGAAAATGGCCCAGCATGAGGGAGGTGCCTTTTGTTCTCACTTTCAAAAACCCAGATAGATTTGGCCATGCTAAAAACCTGAAAATAGCTATTTGCACTTTTTCAGTGCTGCTTGTTACAGGCTTATTGCTAAATATCTTCCAGGATCACACCTGCACTAAGTAGACTCAGACACAGGTGCACCAACAGGGATTTTGGGGGCTGATACCAATAGCCGATTTTAAGGAGGCATTATCAGCCAATACCAATTCGATTTCCAATACAGCTGCTCGCAGCTGGTAAGTCTGTTGTGGTGGAAGGGGAGAAGGGAGGGAAGGGGCACGGGGGCAGATCAAGGCCCCTGCAGTGAGGGAGGGAGTGGGGCTGAGGCAGGCATTGATCAGCCAGGACAGGCCAAGGCACAGGACAGAGCCATGGCTTGTCCAGGGGTGCAGGGTGGGGGGTGGCCCCCACCTCTGAGCAAACCTGGGAGGGAATGGGGGAGGGGGGGTGTGCCTCACAGATCTGCGTGGGGCAGGGCAGGGTGGGCTGCAGCTGCAGGTTGGGGTCGGGGCTGCACCGGGCTCCTCCTGGAGGGGGCTGGGCAAGGCTGCGCTCGGGGCAGGCAGCAGCAGCGTTTGGACGGGGGCTACAGGGGAGGCTGCAGCCACCCCAAATTTTGCTGCAGCTCCCACTCCCAGCACTGCCACCACCCACCCTGAGTGCAGCCCTGGCCCAATCCTCCCCACCCCGCATGTGCCAGGAAGAGCCCAGCACACCTCTGGCCCCAGCCTGCAACTGCAGCCCACACCGCCCCCTCGCACAGATCTGGGGCACACACCCTCCTTCTGCCATGCCCTCCCAGGGTGCATGCAGCGGTGGGAGCCATCCCCCCACCCCCTCAGACAAGCCACAGCTCTGTCCCACACCCCGCCCTGCCCCAGCTAGGCAGCACCTGCCCCGGCCCCTGCCCCATTCCCTCCCTTACCATGGGGGGTGTTGATCTGCACCCCCTCACCCTTTCCCTGCCCTCTCTCCTTCCACAACAAACTTACCAGCTGCAAGCAGCTCTCCATGCTGCCAGGCTGTGCTCCTCGCTGCAGCTGCGCACATGCACGGGGCACTTATCAGCCAAATTATCGGCCACATCAGGCCGATTTCCAATACAATCAATTTTCTTTATATCAGTGCCGATCTGATATCGGACCGATGTATTGGTGTACCACTAGAGTCAGACCGACAGGACTTCCTACAAAATAGGCAAAAGAGAAATAGAGCTGCAGTAGTAACCACCTCACAAACCTTTTTGCCAGAAGTTGGGGCTTGGAGTAGATTCTACTCCAGGGTACTAAGTCTCTGCCCTTAACAGCTTTTATTAATGAGCAAGTTTACCTGCTCCTGATTTAAAAATGTTATCAAATATCATCAACCCAAACATATGCATGAGGAGGAAGAAGAGCTCCTGAGATGTCCATACACACTCTCCTCACAGTTTTTGTTATTTATCAAAAGAACACTAATTCAAACCTATTGCCTTTCTTCAGCTCACTGCCAGAGCTGTTACTCCAGAAGGGAAGGATTGTTCCGTACTCAGAACAATAGCCTAAGCTATAAGCTATGTGGTTTCAAATCCTTGATCTACCACATGCTTCCTGTGCCACCTTTCCGTGCTATTGTTCCCCACCTGTGAAGTGTGGAAAAAGAGCTCATCCCTACCCTCACAAGGGCGTTACAAAGAAAAAAAAAATCTATATAGCTAGACATGGTCCTGGATTCTACATTAG